TATTTCTTAAATAAGATATGGCCTCTTCCATTTCTCAATGGCTTCCCTTAAGAGTAGTCCTGAAAAAAAGGACTGAAAGGAAATATGCTAAAATATGACTCAATAATTAAGAAGCATTTTAAAAAAATATTTCACTAACAGTTTAATTCTCCCCAAATGGTAGTTATATTTTTACAATCAGAAGGAAAAAACTGAAGACTTTATTAATAAAGGGAGGGTGGTGAAAGTTGTGACAAAGTTGAAAGAGCCAGCATCATGGACCATGAGCACATTAAGTGCCCTCAATAATTCAATTAACTATACAGCAGGGGCAAGACAAACTGGCCTTTGGGCCACATCTGGCACAACACCCACTTTTGCAAATAAATATTGTTGGAACACAGCCACGTTATCTCTGAGACATGGTCCCACTCTGTTACCCAGGCTGGAGTACAGTGGCACGATTTTGGCTCACTCCAACCTCTGTCTCCTAGACTCAAGCAATCTTCCCACCTCAATCTCCGGAGTAGCTGGGGTTACAGGCGTGCACCACCAAGCTTGGCTAAGTTTTGTTTTGCCTTTTTTTTTTTTTTTTAAGAGACAGTACTTCACTATGTTGCCCAGACTGGTCTTGAACTCCTGGGCTCAGGTGATCCATGCACCTCGGCCTCCCAAAGTGTTGGGATTATAGGCATGAGCCGCCAACAGTGCCCAGTCTAGGCCATTTCTTTACATATTATCTATGGCCTACAGCTTTTGTCCTAAAACAGCAGCGCTGAGTGGCTATAACAGAGACCACCATTTGGTTTACAAAGCCAAGCATACTTACTATCTGGCCCTTTACAGAAAGTTTGCCTATCCCTGAAATAGAGCATGGACATTCACTTATGGTGGGAAAAAAAATCAACAAAAAATGCTTAAACTTACCATTAAGTACCCAATCTCTTTCTGGTTGACTCTTGTCTCCATGGATACACATAGCTGGCCAACTATCAGAAGAATAACAACCGATATTTAAAAAATATTTTAAAATGGGGAAAATCAAACTTTAAAGCCAAATGCTATAATGCAATTTTTGTAAGGTTTGTCAGGCTTCATGAATAGATGACTGTGCTCATTATTAAAAGAGCAAACTGCATGGATAGGCATTATTGAAATATTACACAGCATTTGGAATACCAATTTAGAAATTTCCAGTTAACTATAAAACCAGAGGTTAACTGCCTTGGTGCTATACTCACCCATCTCTGCGCATCCTTCGAGTCAGATCATCACAGCGTCTCTTTGTCTCCACAAATATTATTGTTTTGTTTTCCTTTTCAGCCATTATTTCTTCCATTAGTTGGATCAATCTGAAAACAAGACCAACAATGCAGTCATCACACAGAAAGTATCTATTATGTGGAAGATTATGTCTACAGTATCAACTCCCAAAGCTATAGTACTTTCTTTGCACATTACGTTTTTAAAATTTTAAACATTAATATAGAGTCCTGAGTCAGGTTCTGCTATGTGCTCAAGAAATACTAATTCATACCACTCATACCATCCTCACAGCAAGTCTCAAGTGAGTGGTATTATTCCCATGTCCCAGATGAAGAAACTGCGGCACCAAGACATAAAATTGTGCAAAATTATACAGCTGGTAATCAGCAGAGCTGAGATTCAAACTCAAGAATTCAGAATCCTTGCATTTAACCATAATGCTCTGACAAATGACATAAAGATGGATTATCAGAAAGTTAGCAATGCTTTTAATGCTTTCAGGCCTCAAAATATACTGGTTTCTGTAATACTGATTTTGGAGGGTTATTAATAGAAAAGGTTTATTGGTATCATCAAATCAGAGAGTAAAATCTCTTTCATACTTGTGGTCTTTTTCACTTTCCATGCAGACATCCACTATCTGGAGGATGTTGTGGTTGGCACTCAACTCCAGATTGCCTACGTTGATCTGGGTGTAATCACGAAGGAAATCCTCTGCAAGCTGTCTTACTTCTTTTGGCCAGGTTGCGCTCCACATCAACGTCTGCCTATCAGGCTATCAAAAAAGGAAAGGCTTTCTTTCAGGCTAAGGAGCTTGGACAAATGGCATAAAGACTGCTTATTATTAGTTTTACGCACCCTGATTTGGTCAACAATTTTACGGATCTGGGGTTCAAATCCCATATCAAGCATTCTGTCAGCTTCATCCAACACAAGGTAAGTACATCGGCGAAGATTTGTCTTTCCTGACTCCAGGAAATCTATCAGACGTCCAGGAGTGGCTATGCAGATCTCAACACCTGTAAAACAAAACCAATGATCCAGCAAATCAGCTAGGTGCAGTGCTCACACCTGTATTCCAGCACTTTGGGAAGTGGAGGCGGGAAGATAGCTTGAGGTCGGGAGTTCACAACCAGCCTGGTCAACATAGCAAGACCCCGACTCTACAAAAACGCAGCAGCACCAGCCCTGGTGGCTGTACTCAATGCTGCAGAGAAGCTAAATTTTAACAAAGTACCTGCAAAAGCATGATGTCGGGATTTATGTACGATCACCAATCCTCACAAAGTTTCCAGTCATGTTGAACTTTCTTTCTCAAAATAGTTATTTTGGTCACATGTGAGAATTTCTAAGCTGCTGAAATTCTCAGTTTTTCACAAGAACCCACTTTTTTCTCCAATTTCATCCACAGGAATTGGTAAAGATAAACTAACAATTCTTTTACACGATATTATTTTATTACCTCTTTCCAAGTCTCGAATCTGGGGACCTTTAGGAGCACCTCCATAAATACAAGTACTCTTCAATCTAGAACATTTGCCATAGTCATCGGCCACCTGCTGTACTTGCTGGGCAAGCTCTCTGGTAGGAGCCAGAACTAGACACTGAAATCAACAAAAAGACATTTGAGACCCCACCCAAGGTTTAAAAACAAACAAAAAAACCAAAAATCTTTGTTGTCTAATCTAGTACATTAAAAGTGATGGGGTGAAGATCAGAAGGAGGGAATATTAGTACAATGGAATGTAGAAGAAATTATTAGAACTTCATATTTAGCATTTGGAATGATACTGGTATCCTCGTCACTTTTACTATGACACATTATCAAATCATTATAGTTTGTATGTACTATTTAAGTGCGTATACAGATTGTATTACCTGATTTTAAGTATACAATTCTCATTTACAGGTTGAGCATCCTAAACCCGAAAAACCAAAATGTTCCAGCATTACTTTGAGAATCATATTGGTCCTCAAAATTTGGATTTGTTTTGTTTTGTCTCACTCTATTGCCCAGGCTGGAGGGCAGTGGTGCAATGTCAACTCATTGTAACCCCTGCCTCCTGGGTTCAAATGATTCTCCTGCGCCTCAGTCTCCTGAGTAGCTGGGACTGAAGACATGCGCCACCACGCCCAGCTAATTATTGTATTTTTGTAGAGATGGGGTTTCCCCATGTTGGCCAGACTAGTCTCGAATTCCTGACCTCACGTGATCTGCCCACTTTGGCCTCCCAAAGTGCTGGGATTACAGGTGTGAGCCACTGTGCCTGGCCTAAAATTTGAAATTTTGGATGGTCAACCTGACTTAAACTAGAAGTCACAAAACTGGCAGAAGGACACATTCCTGACCTCTAGTTTAAGTACTTCACCAGGTAGATAAGGCAAAAACAATGAAAATTTACATGTAATCTGACAAAACTGTGTACAATCTGGCCAAATAATACAAAAATCAAGGTATCATATACCAAATTATGAAACTTGCTTTGTATACTGATCCATTAGATATTAATTAATAATGCTGTCAGACATATACTACGTATTATATAAAGTACTGCATTATTTCCTTTTGTGACTATCTTGAGACATACTGTACATGTTCATAAATACATACGACAAATGCAAGCTTAATTCTTAAAGTTAAAAAGTAGGCCGGGCGTGGTGGCTCACACCTGTAATCCCATTATTTTGGAAGGCCGAGGCAGGATCACCTGAAGTCAGGAGTTCGAGACCAGTCTGGCCAACACAGTGAAACCCCGTCTCTACTAAAAAAACAAAAATTAGCCGCGTGTGGTGGCACATGCCTGTAATCCCAGCTACTTGGGAAGCTGAGACAGGATAATCGCTTGAACCTGGGAGGCAGAGGTTGCAATGAGCTGAGATGGTGCCAACAATGTACTCCAGCGTGGGCAACCAAGAGCAAAACTCCGTCTCAAAAGAAAGAAAAAAAAAAGTACACATTCAATGCCAGGCGTGGTGGCTCCCAGCACCCTGGGGAGGCCGAGGCGGGTAGATCACCTGAAGTCAACAGTTCCAGACCCGCCTGGCCAACATGGCGAAACCCTATCTCTACGAAAAATACAAACATTAGCCGGGCGTGGTGGTGTACACTGTAATCCCAGCTACTCAGGAGGCTGAGGCAGGAGAATTGCTTGAACCCCGAGGCGGAGGTTGCAGTGAGCTGAGATCTTGCCACTGTACTCCAGCCTGGGCTACAGAGTGAGACTATGTCGCCCCCCCAAAAAAAAAAAAAAAAGCTGGATGCAGTGGCTCATGCCTGTAATTCCAGCAATTTGGGAGGCTGAGGCAGGCTGATCACCTGAGGTCAGGAGTTTGAGACCAGCCTGACCAACATGGAGAAACCCATCTCTAGTAAAAATACAAAATTAGCTGGGCATGGTGGCACATGCCAGTAATCCCAGCTACTCAGGAGGCTGAGGCAGGAGAATCACTTTGAACCCAGGAGGTGGAGGTTGCGGTGAGCCAAGATCACGCCATTGTACTCCAACTGGGCAACAAGAGCGAAACTCCAAAAAAAACAAAAAAACAAACAAACAAAAAAACACCCAGAAAACACTTGACTTTACTGCACAGTAAGTGCCCATATAGCATGCATAGTTTCTTTAGGAGTAAGACTTTGGTTCAAATGTAAGCTCAGCTATTCAACTGCTGAGTGATCTTGGGTAAGTCATTTAACTGCAAGTAAGATGAGAATGAAACCATTTCCATGTATGGAGAGTGTGGTGAAGAGTACAAATGGATAATGTAAAGCACCATGCCTAAATAGTTGCTAAATTGTAGTTTTTCTTAGAATTACAAAGAAACTGAAACACACTTACAATTGGGCCATCTCCCCTTTCCAAGTATGGCTGGTGGTTAATATGAACAATCGCAGGCAGGAGATACTGTGGAGGAGGGAAAGAATGACAACCTTATACTTAGAAGTACAATCTTACTAAGATACTTAATACTATCTTAGTAATTACTGAATTAATGCATAAATAGGAAAGTGAAAAACAGAACTCACCATTGCCACATACAGCAGGCGATGCAAATTTGAACATAAAATGCTTTCATATATTTAATAACTAAAATAGTACCTACACTATCTGAACAGCATTTCTATGAAGAACTGAGAACGCATGATAATCAGAATAGCAAAGTAAGTTACCACAATATCAAGGATCTTCTCTTGCTCATACATACCGCCAACGTCTTCCCAGAGCCAGTCTGAGCAATGCCCACCATATCCCGGCCACTAAGAGCCAACGGAAATCCCTGGCACTGAATTGGAGTTGGTTCTGTAAAGTGCTGATCCATCAACACATCCATTACATATTCTGTAAGAGAATTTTATTTCACACATTTTATTGTGTTAAAGGGCACAAACCAAAAGAGTTTTTAAAAAAACTTTTAAGCTCACTAAAGTAAGATTTACCCAGCTTCATCTCTCCAAAGTGTTTTCTTTATCTACTGGATCTCCGACTAGCTTACCGTAAAGCTGCTCTGGGCCAGGCTAGGTGGCTCACGCTTGTAATCCTAGCACTTTGGGAGGCTGAGGCCAGTGGAGGTCAGGAGTTGACCAGCCTGGTCAACATGGTGAAACCCTGTCTCTACTAAAAATACAAAAATTAGCCAGGAGTGGTGGCGGGCGCTTGTAAACCCAGCTACTCGGGAAGGTGAATCAGAATCGCATGAACCCAGGAGGCGGAGGAGGCAGTGAGCTGAGATCACGCCACTGCACTTCAAACTGGGTGACAAAGTTGTGACTCCGTTAAAAAAAAAAAAAAAAAAGCTGCTATAATAGTCTACCTCTCTCAGAAATTTGAAAAACCGTTACCCTAAAGCATCTAACAGGACATGGGAACATGGTAGTCATTTATTGTTTACCAAATTCACATTATGTCCAGCTAGAAAGCAATTTCATTCTGCTGTTTTCTAAAAGGCAGAGGGAAAAACCCTAGAAAAAGATAAAAACCTTACAAAAAAAAAATTCTCAGTCTAAATACAAGAACAAAAGAACTGATGACCACAAAACCATAAAAACAATCTCTTGTCCTTTCAACAAAACCCCAAGCCTGGCTCAAAGAGTTTAACCTAATACTCATGTCTCCCATTCAACCCAATTTAACAAACTAAGGCTCTAGACTGAAGAATACTTACGTGGGAAGTTAGCATGATGGAAGGCAAACACGGGTTTAGGACAAACATCTCCCCCTCTCACTGTAATCTCTTTCTTTCGGCGTAGCTCATCAACCTCATACTACGGAAAAAAAATTAAATAACACAAGTTAGTAAACTAGTTACTCTAAACATTCAGAATTTATGTTCCAAGCTAGCTGAGCAATTATCCAGTCCACAGCTACGATGGCAAATGTTTAATAGTTTACATGGTACTTTCATGTGTATCACTTTAATTTTGCAAGTTAATTAACGATGTAGGTGATTAAGAGTTCCACTTTCTTTTTTTTTTTTGAGACGGAGTCTGGCACTGCCCCCCAGGCTGGAGTGCAGTGGCACAATCTCGGCTCATTGCAAGCTCCGCCTCCTGGGTTCACGCCATTCTCCTGCCTCAGCCTCCGGAGTAGCTGGGACTACAGGCGCCCGCCACAGCGCCTGGCTAATTTTTTGTATTTTTAGTAGAGATGGGGTTTCACCGTGGTCTCGATCTCCTGACCTTGTGATCCGCCCGCCTCGGCCTCCCAAAGTGCTGGGATTACAGGCGTGAGCCACCGCGCCCGGCCAAGAGTTCCACTTTCTACAGGAGAAAACAGGTAAGTAACTTGCCCAAGGTCAGAACGAGGAGGAAAAAAAGTGGAACTTGGACCCAAGTACTCTTTCCATTACACTTTCTTCTGAAAGAGTAACCATTTCATGTGTAGAGTCCAAAAAACAATGATAATGAGGTACAAGAATAGACAATGTTGGCTGGGCACGGTGGCTCCCACCTATAATCCCAGCACTTTGGGAGGCTGAGGTGGGTGGATCACTTGAGATCAGGAGTTTGAGACCAGACTGGCCAACATGGTGAAACCCCGCCTCTACTGAAAAAAACAAAAAAATAAAAATAAAATTAGACAGGCGTGGTGGCACGTGTCTGTAATCCCAGCTACTCGGGAGGCTAAGGCAGGGGAATTGCTTGAACCTGGGAGGCAGAGGTTGCAGCAAGCCAAGATCATGCCACAGCACTCTAGCCTGTGGAACACAGCGAGACTTCATCTCAAAAAAAAAAAAAGACAAGGCCAATATATGATATTTTTCACTAGCAGATGAAAAGACATGACCTAACATACAATAGTTTCAATCATATATAATAAACAGATTAGTAAGCATTATCAACAAATGAGAACAAATTCAAAGCATATTGAAACTGGTCCCCTTTTATGAGTATTGGGGTCTTAGTTAAGAATTAAGAAAGGCCGGGCGCAGTGGCTCACACCTGTAATCCCAGCACTTTGGGAGGCGGAGGTGGGTGGATCACTAGGTGATCGTGAGATGGAGACCAGTCTGACCAATATGGTGAAACCCTGTCTCTCGCACTCCAGCCTGGGTGACAGAGCAAGATTCTGTCTCCAAAAAAAAAAAAAAAAGGCTGGGCATGTGTAATCCCAGCACTTTGAGAGGCCATGGCAGGTTAATCGCCTGAGGTCCAAGGTCTGGAGTTCGAGACCAGCCTGCCCAACATAGTGAAACTCCATCTCTACTAAAACTACAAAAAGTTAGCCAGGCATGGTGGCGGGTGCCTGTAATCCCAGCTACTCGTGAGGCAGCAGGATCGCTTGAACGCACGAGGCTGAGGTTGCAGTGAGCCAAGATCATGCCATTGCAGTCTAGCCTGGGCAACAAGAGTGAAACTGTCTCAAAAAAAAAAAAAAAAAAAAAATCATCTGGATGCAGTGGCTCATGCCTGTAATCCCAGCACTTTGAAAAGCTGAGGCGGGTAGTTTGCTTGAGATAGGGAGTTCGAGACCAGCCCGGGGAACATGGCAAAACCCAGTCTCTACAAGGAGGAAAAAAAAAATTAACCAAGTTTTTTGTAAGAAAAATACCACCACACTGGAATAAAATGTAAAACGGCAACAGTAGCGTATGAATAAACTCTAACCAATGTATCTACTTGGTTCAATAATCTGTACATTAAAATACACATGTAAGCTTACTGGTGTCAGTCTTGCTACTTCCGGATGTTCCACATAAAAATTCTTCTCAAACTTGGGGAGCTCACTCAAATCCCACTTTTTTTTACGCAAACGCTCCCCAGGATTACCAAATTTCTTCGGGGGAAGGCCACCACCACCTCTTGCTCCAAATCTAGGAACAACAGAATTTTTAGTTAGTTCATCAGTATTTTCAAAGCAATGTATCGTACATGCCATAAAAACATTCAAAAAGGATGGAGTTCTAAGGATACTACCAGCCTACCTCCAAAAAGACCATTTTATTTACTCCTATTTAAAGGTATGGAGAACTGTGTAAAACTTCCTTTACTACCCAACAATACTGTTTTATGAGTATGTCTACAATAGGTGAAAAATTAAAAACTCCTTTATTGAGAGAAATACATCCTAGGGATTACAATCACAGATTCTGGATCCAGACATGGTTCTGAGTTTTGATTCTGCCACTTACTGTGTAATTTGAAGCTAATTATTTAACTTCTACACACCTTAGTTTCCTATGCAAAGCAGAAATAATACCACCTATTTCAGAGGCTGCTGAGAAAATGACCTAATAATGTGCAATGTGCTATAAAACTATCTGGCATAGCCAGCACCCAGTACAATTTAGCATCATTTCATTCAACAAATAGTTATTAGGTACCAAGTTATTAGGAACCAAGTATGTATCAGTTACTGTTTTAAGTGGTGCTGTGCTGGAGTTACTAAATAAAACAGAAACAAGTCTCTGCTCTTGGGTAACAGACATGCAGGCAAAGGATGACATTAGTTTAAGTTTCAATTAAAGGCAAGATTGTGGACAGGCAGGAAAATACACTCCAAGCAAGTCCCTCAATCTTAGAATAGCTTCTTGGGCCCACTCCTCCGTGTGATAAGCACTCCACTTGTCTGCTAATCTGCAAAGCAAAACTGGGTCCTGGAAAGGACTTGGTAGACTGGTCTTTATATTTAGCTTACACTAATAAAAGAGCTGAGCCTGCCGGGGTCAGTGGCTCACACCTGTAATCCCAGCACTCTGGGAGGCGGAGGCCGGCGGATCACTTGAGGTCAGGAACTTGAGATCAGCCTGGCCAACATGGTGAAAACCCATCTCTTACTAAAAACACAAAAAAGTAGCTGGGCGTGGCGGCGCACGCCTGTAATCCCTAGCTACTTGGGAGGCTGAGGCGGGAGAACTGCTGGAACTTGGGAGGTGGAGGTTGCAGTAAGCTGAGATGGCACCAGAGCACTCCAGCCTGGTAGACAGAGAGAGGCTCCGTCAAGACAGACAGACAGAAAGACAGGAAAAAAAGGAAGACAGAAAAAGACAGAAAGAAAGAAAAGAAAAAAAAAAGAAAAAACAAAAGAGCTGAACATAGATTTATGACCCTTCCTTCTTTGGTCTCTACTTTTAACTTCTATCTCCTTCTTGTTCCCAAATGCAGAAAAAAAAAAAAAAACACTAACAAGACTTACTTAAGGCTTTACTTACTTTACTTACTTTTTTGCAGAAAAAAAAACACTAACAAGACTTACTTAAGGCTTTAACACTCAACTAATTACTTAAGATCAACTTCTGGCTTTTTATAAAACTTTCACAACAGACAAGCCCAAGGGGGATACAAATATGACCACTGGCCAAAGCTAAAATTTAAGAAATCACAAGCTACTTTTCCTAGAAGAATCTTAACACTAAGATGGCCTTCATTTTCCCTATTTCTTTCTTGTGAAGTACAGGTCTTCAGCATACACAAACTGTATAACCATTTCTTCACTCAGTTTCTTTACTCCGTGTAAAATATTGTACTGAATTTAGTTTCCTTTTCCCACTCTAACCCACTTGTAACTTCATCTTATATAAAGTTCCACTTTATCATTGATAGGCAAGTAGGTGTATTATTCTACAGGGCCTCATTTTCTGAAATTCAAAGCCTTCAGAAGTCTGGTTTAACCAGCTAAACATTCCTCTAAAAACACACGTAACAAAAATTGATGGCAGGAGATTTTATTGGGATCACTGGATACCTACACTCAACAGGCAGAACTTGGCTAATTCCATTTATACCACTACTAAGACAAATTAAGAATCAGAACAGGAAGAGCACACAGCATAGGGATACACGTGTCAAGGACATCTTTAATATGATCCTCAGCTTACGGCTCATTACTGAACAGACCAAAAGGCCACCTCAATTGCCACTCCCAACACACTTGCAAATGAAGCAGATAAATAAGGTACTTTTCAAGAGGTAGAAAGTCTTTGGATTATCACTCTTGCAAATTATAAAATATTTCATTGTTACTGCTGCACTGCAATGCTACCCAAACCTTACTGATTTAGGAAAAACTAAAACTTCTGAAAGATTCCTGTTAAGGCTTTAAACTGATGATTATCATTTATGTATTTTTTTTCCTCTCTCCTTATTTTCCTGGCTATTTATTCAAGACATACTATTCTACACTAAACATATAGTTTGAAACATGGGGTTCTTGGAAAATATGCCGTCTGCCATGTTTATAATTAATGCTGACATAATTAATGACCTCAAAATTCAAGAAAATCTCTTACTTTTGAGCTTATCCATACCATCTTTAAATACGCACATCATACTCTCTGGTACACTATGCTGCTCAAATGTTTTTATCCAGTCAGTAATAAGTTTAATTTGGCTTTGCAAAAAAAAAAATTCACCTTTGAAGATTCATATATTAACATTAAAAACCACATATTAACATTCATATATTAAACATTAAAAACCATCACATGTACAATGCATATCATTTTTGCATCACACACGTGAAACACATGAACTGACCTCACCTATTCCTTTTTCAAAGTAACCACCATTTCAACTGTGTAGCATTCATTTAAGAGTAAAACAGCAATTCAAATAATCAAGAACATTTCTTGGGAAAGGGAGAGTTGTGACAAAGATCTTATGAAAGAAGGCCAGTTCGTTTGAAATTTTTAAAAAATGTCATTTGATACAAAGAGTTAAAGTATGGATCAGTAATTCACTTTTTTCCTTTCAAATAACTTATTAAAGCACATATATGGTGAAAGGAAATACTAAACCAAACAGCCATGGTAAAGAAACAGAACACTATTAGTACCTTGTATCCCCTCTAAGCGCCTATTTCAAGCTTACAACTTTCACCCTAATAACCACTACCTTGAATTTTGTTAACCATTCCCTTTCCTGTCATATTTGCACATATCTTCAAATGTGTCACCCTACCACAACTTGCTTTTTAACTCAACATGTCTGTGACTTATCCACATTAATCCAAGTTCTTTTCTCTTTTTCACAGCTGATTAAATTGTATTCAATTGCACGAATACCCACAATTTATGGAGACATTTGAGTTGTTTCCAATATCCTGTTAGCAGGAATGCTGGTATATAAACTTTTCTGTACAAGGATCCTGAGGCACGTGTGCAAGGATTTCTCTAGGCATTACAGTCTAGGGTGTAAAGCTTAGGGAATTACTGGGCTGTTTTCAATTTTCTTAGATAATCTTAAATTCTTTTTCTAAGTGGTTGTACTGAAATTCACTTCTAAACTCAGCAATACTGTCAAACACAAGCAAACATTCCATCTCTCATCCTTTAAACAATGAGATCAAATATTTTCCTTCCTAATAAGGTATAAATCAAAATAATTTTGTAAAAACTGGTAACTGAAGTGCTTGTGACTAGTAAATCCAGTAGTTGTGCATCTGAACCACAAAAGACAAAAACGTTTGGGGAAAGTATGGTTAAAAGAGTGCCTACTACAGCGAGACTATTACATCCATTATCTCTTAATTCCTGACAACACACCAAAGTAAAGGCAATTATTATCACCTTCCTCAGAGGAAACAAGCTCACAAAAGTTACGGATCTTGACCAAGGTCACACACACATATAAAGTGGCGTCACATTACTCTTTTTGGAAGCAGGGAGCGGGCGATCGGAGTTTCGCTCTGCTGCCCAGGCTGGAGTGCAGTGGCGCTATCTCCACTCACTGCAACCTCTGCCTCCCGAGTTCAAGCGATTCTCGTGCCTCAGCCTCCCGAGCAGCTGGGATTACAGGCATGTGCCACCAAGCCAGGTTAATTTTGTATTTTCAGTAGAGACAGGGTTTCTCCATGTTGGCCAGGCTGGTCTCGAACTCCCGACCTCTGTTGATCCGCCCGCCTCGGCCTCCCAAGGTGTTGGGATTACGGGCCTGAGGCCTGCGCCCGGCCCACAATACCAAGAACTTTCTAGCGAGGCAGAATAGTTGATGCTGCAGTCCAATTAGAGAAAAAACGCCGAAATATTAAAACTAAATTAACGACCCAAAAAAACATCCTTCCCCCAAACACGGTCATTTAGATGGCAAGCAACTCCATTGCTTTACATCCCAATGCATTTCCTTCGACTTAAAATACGACTGAAGAGGATTAAAACCTATTTTTAAAAATGAGAAGCTGGTCTTTTCGTCTCGTGTCTTAAACAGTGAACTCTGGGGAGAGAACGTCAAGGCTGCCATTTCGTGTAAAGCTTTCCTGGGCTGAAGTCTTCTCTTAGGAAGATCCGTGTTTTTCCAGAGAAACGCCGAGGCCTGAAGACATCAAACGGCCCGCTCCAAGCGGCCAGGCCCGAGAGCCGGGACGCCAGGCGAGGCGCCTAAGCCCG